TGGAGCCGACTATATAAAAAATTTGGTCCCAACAGAGATCGATTTCATGAGATATCATATTTTGCATCAACATTTTTATTCTTTTACAAACTCACCATTTTAAAAAATAATAATAAAAATGAACATTCGGTTTCTATCAGGGCTAATTTTTTTATGTTATGCTCCATATAAAAATGAATAAATCTAAAAAATTTATTGCAAATAACTCAAGTATTTTATAAAAAGTAAAATAAAATAAGATTGTTACAGTAGATTTTTAGATTGTCTATTTTTTTATAGTTATGAAGTTTTGTTAAACAAATCTTGTATTTCTGGAATCTTGTTTTATAAGTTTTTCGTGCATATATTATTTGTAATATTTAGATGTACGATTTCTGAGATATGAATTTTTGAAATTCGAAAAAATTAAGATTTAAATAAAAGAACATTTTGGTCCAAATATTAACTCTTTTACACCCTTAGATAGTCGATGGGGGTTATTTGGGACAAAATTAGATAAGGGTGATTTATTGGAAAGTGTTACAAGTCGAGAGAGATTATTTGGTAAAAACCATAGACGAGGGAGGCTTACTAGAAAATGTTACAACACAAGGATGATTTTCTGTACTTTGTCCTATTTACAATTTGGACAAATAACATCTCTATTCTTTATTTTAAATATATAAATCCATTAAGTTTAAAAAATGTGACAAAGAATGAGTTAATGTCTATATTTTGTCAGAAAAATGAACTTTAAGAAGACATGTGCCACGCTATTTTAGGTTTTAAAATTCGTGAAACACCATTTTGTTTGCCCTAAGATGCCCCTTATACAATTATATATATATATATATATATATATCAATCACATTTTACTCTCATTTTGTGAACCCATAAGGGCATTTTAGTCACTTTACCATTTTTTTTTTTTTTTTTTTCAAATACAGAAAGACACTTTAGTCTTTTAATGTTCCACTCATGACGGACCCTTGTTCGCACCAAAAGTAAAGGTTAGAGACTTTTAAAAACCTATAGGGGATTATATACTGCATGCTATATGGATGTTTATTGTCGGTGACTTTTTTCTTAAAACATTGTAATACCCTTAATAATATCTTTCCCCTCTATCAATGTATTTTATTTTATTTTGTTTTTTTTATTATTATTTATATATATATATATATATATATATATATATATATATATATATATATTTTGTGTGTGTGAGTGTGTGTGTGTGTTAAAGGCATTTTAAATATTGCACTCTTTAAATTGAGAAAATATTTTATTTGTTCAATTTGAAACATAAAGGGAAGTTTTTCAAACACCAAAAAATATTTGCACTAGCAATATTTTTTTATTTACCCTTTACCTTTAAAAAAAAATATATGATAGTGATACACCGAACCCATCAATCGAAGGCGCTGTCAAAGTCCTTATCATTATTGTGAAAAATGCATATAAATTTTCTTGTGTTGAACTTCTCTGGTCAATTATTTGAAAAAACAGAGCAATTTGAAAATCAAATTATATGATTCAAAATAAACATGAAAGAAAATTAATAAAGTTTTCACAAATGCTTTGACTTTTAGGATATGTAAGGTAAAATAGGAGAAAAAAAAAATAAAAAGATAACATTAGTTATGAAAGAAATAAAATTATAATAGTAATTAATAAAGAAAATAAAAAAATTAAGCACTTAATTATTTTTGGAGAAAGGAAGAAAATAAAATTATTTTAATACAGTTACCAATATACACTTTCACATTGTAGAGATAAATATATAGGTAAAAACTGATAAAATAAAAATAATAATTTTTTTGGTAAACAGCACTTGAGCTAAAGCGATGATTTGAAAACTAAGAAATGGTTAAAGAGAATAAAAACTTGTCATAGGACTCGTGGTAATTTGATTTTGTCTTTTGTAGGAGAGGGGGAAACCATAGTAACGCTTTCCTTTTTGCAAGGATAACGAAACCTAATTATCATAGTTTGTATCCTTCTAAATTCTTTCATTTTTTTTTTCTTTTTCTTTAATGATTTATAACAAACACAATAAGTCATTTTTCTCCATCACCTTTCTTTTAATTTCCTTCCATTTGTCTCAAACCAAACAAGTCCTTAGTAAAAGAGAATTCATAAACAAAAATAGTTTTCACTTTATAAATTTATCTCAATACAAATAATAATGTTTGATCATATGTATTTAAGTCTCATTGTCTGGTGTAAAGATAAATATTGTTTATTGACTTTTTTAATTGACAATAAACTCACACCCTCATTTGTCACTATGCACGGAATACGAAATCTCAGCTGCCACATTGATAAGAGTAGATAAGAAATACCAAATACTAATAGGTTGCAACCTTTGATGGTAAATTTTTAATCTTATTAAGCATATAGAGTGATGACACAAGTTTAAATTTTTTTTCTTTCTAATAATATCATAAAACCCTCCATTACTTTCAAATTTTTGTTATAAACCCCCAATCTGTTTCAGAAAATCTCCTACATTGTAAAAAGTGATCACATTGCCCCAATATTTGTGTCCAACCCATTTATCGGACTGTGAAATAACAAATTTGACTTTACTATTTAATGTTAAATTAAAAATTAAAAATTATTTTTTTAAATTACAAAAATGCCCTTTTTATAGAGTAGGGGGTTTTTTGAAACAGGTCGGGGGTTTATGACGAAATTTTGAAAGTAAGTAGTAGAGGTTTTTTTTTTATTTTTATGTTTAACCCTTTAAAAAATGAAAAATAATAATAATAACAGAGTAAAAAAAAAAAAAAAAAAACCTCATTATATAAAAAATGTGCAAAAAATACGCCTACTAAAAATTAAGTATATATAAATTCCTATATTATCAATATTTTGAGCAAATTACAGCATAAATTTGTTGAAAAATAGTTGTCGCTGACGTCATATTTTATTAAAAACACAAAAGATATGTTAATTTTTAATCTCCTCTCAGCACGCGGGAATTATTCCTATACTTATAAATTGATATTGAACTTTCAGAAGAAAAAAATAAAAAAAATAAAAAATAATTAATTAATTACATTGGCTAATACATTATTCAATTTTTTAAAAAAAATTTTCTTGGATATAATAAGGTATATATATATATATATATAGTCAAAGTACCCAATAATTTAGAACATGCTTCCCCATCCCGCATGGAGCGAACAATTACCAAAAAAAAAAACGGCATAGGGTGAAGAGAAAGACCATAAATTCAAACCCTAGTAATCCACCGATGGCCGAAGGGTTTGGTATGAAACAAACAAGAGGAACATTGAGCAGCAAAGTGCCCCCAACATGTTTTGGGACTATTAGGACAGAAGGATTAGAGGAGTTACCCTAGCGTGTGGCACCTGTGGTTGGGACAGCCAAATCCATATCTATCTCTCCGCTAAAACAGCAAAAGAAAACCAATAATTATAATATACCACCACCGCTGCCTCCTCTTTCTTCCATCATTAAGGACTCTCATAAGAGACAAAAATCAATGTCTCAGACTTGGTTGTCATCTTTAGAAAGAAAAACAAAAATATGTCTCTTTTTCACTCAAAATCATTTCTTTCAAATAAAGGAAGAAGCTAGGAACCACAGCCATTGGAACCAACCGTAATCTTCCCCCTTTCTGTTCTTATTCTAAATTTGCCCTTTCCATATTTTTTTTATTTTTTTTTGCTTTTTAAATGAGGTTTTCTAGTGAAAATTTTAATTAATCCATTTTCTTAGAGTTACATATTGCTTTTAAAATGAGATTTTCTAATAAAATTTTTAATTAACCCAATTTTTGGACTTTTAGGATACTTAAGATTTTCAAAATGCTTTTTTACAAAGATAGAAGACATCTTCTTATAAGTACTAACCATGCAATTACAACTATGACCAAAAAATATAATAATATTAGATTCCATGTGTAATAACAATAATAAGGCATCCTTAAAGTTATCATCTTCCAACTATGACAAATGAATTGACCAAAACAAATAATAATGTACTAGTAGTATTAAATTTTGACAAAAAGAAATGACAATCAAATAATAATAATAATAATAATAGATTTCATGTGTAAGAATTATAAGAGTAATGTTATCACGAGTGTCCTCTCATAATAAGAGGTACGAGCTCTCTTTATTTAACCACTAAATTAAGATAATGTTTTAATATCGGCGAAAAGTCAAATAAGTCATTTAATAAATATTTCAATTCATTGATTAAATAAGAACAACTCACTAAGAGAGGATTTTCATGATAACATTACTCATTATAATAATATGAAGAACCTAATATTAGCGTTTTCATTAAAGAAAATGACAAAAAAAAAAAAAAAAAAAAAAAAACAAATAACAATTACAAGTTTCATGTGTAATAATAATAAACATCCCGTAAAGTTGTCATTAAATTTTGGATCTTTTCCAAACTTATGGCTCATTCATAAAACTTGAATGACCGATAAGAAAATGAGCCACGTATTTTTTAATAATTAATAAGCTAAATTTACCTAATTCTCCCTTCGTGCATACAGATTATCTACAAAGGGAAAGACATATGGTGAATGGAGGGAGCACCCTTTCTAAAGCTAACAGAATATTAATCATTTATATGATCAATAATTTGACAATAATTCAAAATTATTTGTGTCCTGATTACATGAATGATGAATCTCTAACAAACATCGGATTTCAAAAATAAAATAAAATAAATAAATTTAGAAAAAATCAAGAGGTAAGCAAAATTATATTAGTAGATCAAAAAAGCAACAAATCACTAAAAAAAAAAAAAAAATGCAATATGTCACTCTCTCTGGATATATATGTGCTGAGCCTGCTTACTAAGATACAGCTTAGCTAATGATACCGAATAAGTGTGTGTGATGTGAAAGAACTCAAATATGGGATTGACAGAGATGGTCGAGGACCACTAATAATTGGTGGTCTAGTTCAATCTAAAATTTTCGATTGAGAGAAATCATAAAAATATATTAACATATCATAAAAAAGTGTGAGTGTTGGTTTCAATTAGGCTACACCATCAAGTGACAGATGTTGTAGGTCTATTTAATAATTTCTTGATTGAGCGGGTATGAAATCACCAATGACTTGCCAAAAAATTATACTCCCATTTACCCAAATTTAGAAAGTAAAAAATAAAATGTAACTGGCACCTATATATATATATATATCTCTCTCTCTCTATAAAGACACCATAGACTCGTAGCAAGATAGAAGATGAAATAGTTTTTGTTGGTAAAAGGAGGCAAGTATGGAGGACAAGTTTAACTACTTGTTTTGGATTCTAATCATTTCATACACAGTGATGGTCATTGTGTTCAAGATAATGGTGAATCTATGGTGGAGACCTAGAAAAATTGAACAACACTTCTCTAAGCAAGGAATTGAAGGACCTCCGTACCGCTTCTTCGCCGGCAACATGAAGGAGCTTCTGTGTTTGATGTCAAAGGCTGCTTCTCAACCCATGCCAGCTCTCTCTCATAACATACTCCCTAGGGTTCTCTCCTTCTATCATCACTGGAACAAAATCTACGGTATGCGTATATTCGATCTTTTGGCCAAATATCAAAACCTGTTTTTCATGATCATGTGATGTACATATATTAGTTGTTAATTATCTTCCTTTATTTGTAATATTTGAGGATTTTAGTCATAAATATTAATTGGGTTCAATCAATGTTGGAGGATTGATGGTCATGTTTACCTTTTTCATTTTCTTTCTTTTTTCCCCCTCTTTACATGCAGATTTTATTTGCAATGTATGAAATGGATTTTTCTTTATGGCTTTCATTTGAAATATATAAATTTTGATCACGTCACGTCAACGTAGTTCGGATAGTTCAAAAACCCCTCCCCTCCCTCTTCCTCTCCCCCTCTCTCTCTCCCATATGCAGGAGTGAATCTAGAAATTCATATTTGGGGGGGGAGGGGGGGGTGGGGGAGAATTTATATAGAGAGATTTTTTTGTTTTATAATTTCAGTGAAGGCAGTTTTAAACTTTTATGGATATAAATGCAAACAAATACAAAAATTTAGAGGTGTAAATGCAGTAACAAAAAATTTCAGTGGGCTAGCGCCCATAGTACGTCTATGCTTGCTCATATGTACTTCAGTGTGGTTTGGATAGACCTAGTTCTCTGTGCTGTTTATGAAGTTTTCTTAGGGTTTGTAGCCCAAGGTTTGAGCCGGCTTCTCTCCAACCAGTCGTATTAATACTAAGTAATTATTAATTGCATTGAGAGGGTAAAAATCACACCACGTGCAATAAGGTCCACTCTCCATCCATTTTGTATATTAAACGATTAATTATATGAATGAGAGTCAATATCACGTCACGCTCTACTTCATTTATGGGACCTCACTTACACAACTTTGTGATGTAATTTCCACCCTTCCTTCCAAACCGAAATATAAATTGCTTTTTCTTAGACATATATACCATCAAAACTCTCTTTCCTAGCTTGTAGGGTCCACTCGATGCATAGTCGTCTTTGGTGACACTTGGTATGTTCATTTTTATTCCTTTTGCAAAACTGACATTTACTATTGGGAGTGGAATTAATTTAAGCACACCAATCCTGACATTATATATATCTTCTGTTTTTTCTACTTATTTATGTGACAATGGAAGTCATGACTCATTGCAGGTGCAACCTTTCTTGTATGGTTTGGAACCAGGGCTCGTCTCACAATCTCTGATCCTGTCCTCATTCGAGAGATTTTCATCCTGAAATCAGACTTGTTTGAGAAAAATGACTCACCCCACCTTGTAAGAAAGGCTGAAGGTGATGGCTTGTTAAATCTAAAGGGACCAAAATGGGCTCATCATAGAAAGATTATCAGACCAACTTTTCATTTGGAAAATCTCAAAGTAAGCCAAAGTAATATTCAATTGATTAGATATGAATATTATTATTTTTAAAGAAATTACAAAAAACTTAATTTTGTTTTTTTATTTTTGTATTTTTTATGAGTTAGGTAAGTACACACACTTTAGCTCATGTCAGGCTCAAACTCTTTCCCTTTGTCTCTTCCAGAATGGGAAGGTTATATATCCTTAAGCTAGAAGCCCTTTGATTTTTATGCGACTAGCTGAGAAGAGAAGACGGAAAATAAACATCTTTACATTGTTTTTTTTGAGTACAAATTTAAAGTTGTTATTTTTAAACTTGAGCTTACTTACGGAAAAAGGTACTCATGATATTTAGGCATGCTTGTCAAAGTGAAATAATAAAAGGTCATTAATGTCCTGAAAGGGTTTAAAATGAAGTTTCACTTCAAGACATAACCATAATTGTTTCACTTTAACAAGCAGGTTTAACTAGTAAACCTAAATATCATTTTCTTAATTTTTATTACCTTAAATTATCTTGTTCAAGATAATTAGTGAAATAGCACTTTGTATTTTCTGTTTCCCCTCTCTTTTTCATGACTAGGAATAAATAATTTTTATACATTGACTTTATTTATTCATATCAATTTATTTGATTTTATGTATTTTTTTATTAGATGATGATACCCATGATGGGAAAGAGCATAGCCAAGATGTTGGATAAATGGGCGGAAATGTCAAATTGTGGGAAGGTGGAAATTGAAATCTCAGAATGGTTCACAACTTTAACGGAAGAGGTTATTATGCAAACAGTGTTTGGTAGCGGTCATGAAGATGGAAGACCAATTTTTAAATTACAAACACAACAAATGATTTTTGCCATACAATCGTATAACAATGTTCACATTCCCGGATTCAGGTATTAAAGTCACACAATTTTACACCATATACCTATTTCCATTTTTTATTAGGCATACTTATAATTATCAAATATTTTAATTTAGCAATATTCATCTATCCTTCAAAATAGAAGGTGCGTCATTTATTTGTCAGAAAGAAAAAATATTTTGCCCATAATAATTTGTCTTTCAAACTTTTATTAACAATTACTTTAATCACAATTCCTCAAAGAGTTGTACTATTTAGGCCCAACACTCTAGCCGAAGTGTTGGGCCTAAAGCATCTAAGCCGTGTGATGCAAAAGTAGGGGTCTGACGCACAATAAATGATATTTGAGCCAAGCATTTCAATAGAAATACTCAGTCAAAGTATCATTTTCCTTATTCAAAATACATGTTCGCATTTTTTGAAATGTAGGAAAAAACAAATAAAAATCACGGGTGCATCCTCAACGTAAACATGTCTTCAGAAAACATAATGAAAGATTTTTTTTAGTGCACTTAAATGTATCATAAATGCAAAAATCACAATGGTTGTCTTAGACAGCATGAAATTAGATATTTGAAATTAAAATTTGTGGAATTTGAAAAAGATTTGGTATAATTTTATGAATTTTTTTTTTTTTTCAATTTCAAAACTCTAATTTCATGTCTTTGGTACAATTTTATGAATTTCTTTTTTTTAGTTTCAAAACTCTAATTTTATATCTGCGAAACATAACATATATTAGTATGCGAAACTTAAATGTTAATAATTAAATATTTTTTGATTATTTATTTCAGGTTCCTACCCACTAAAAAAAATAGAATTTGTTGGAGATTGGATAGTGAAATTGGAAACTATTTAGTGAAGCTCATCCATGAGAGGATAAAGAATTACAGTACAAATCAAGTGTCAGAGGAATGTCCAACCGACTTATTGGATGCGATGATCAGAGCCAAATTGAAAGGAACTAGTAGTGTTGGCACAATTCCAAAGTCAAAGTCAAATTCCTCCACCAGGATCACCGTCCACGACATCGTGGAGGAATGCAAGACTTTCTTCTTCGCCGGAAAACAGACGGTGTCGAATCTGCTGACGTGGACGACCATCCTCCTGGCTATGCACCCTCAGTGGCAGGAATTGGCACGTGAGGAGGTCTTCACTGTGTGTGGGTCACGTGATGTTCCTGCTAAAGATGACCTTCCAAAGCTTAAGATGGTAAACCCCTCTCTAGCTAAGACACATTGGTTTTGATTTTATTTATTATGTGTGTGTTCATTTTAGTAACTAAATTACCTAAAAAAACCCAATATTTTACTCTATTTTTCAAAAAAATTTAAAATTTTACCAACTTTCCCCCCAACTGTTTTAAAAAAATTTAAAATCCCCCCCTCCCCCAAGAGAAAATCAAATTGGTGAGACCCACTTCTAACCGTTATATTTGCGACTAATCTATTGCATTTAATGATTCACAAGTAATATAAATCGCTCGATATGATATATCACTCGTGTGCTGCACCGCGTGAATCTCACGTCCAATAGAAAATGAGAATTTGTGAAGATATTCTTTTGTTGACAGTTGGGCATGATCCTGAACGAATCACTCCGGTTGTACCCTCCTTCGGTGGCGACAATCAGGCGTCCCAAAGTTGATGTGCAGTTGGGAGGCTACAGTATCCCTCGTGGGACCGAGCTTCTGATCCCGATCATAGCCGTCCATCATGATAAAACACTATGGGGCCATGATGCCACTGAATTCAACCCCGCCCGATTCACCCAAGGCGTGACACTAGCCACAAAGCATCCGATGGCATTTATGCCATTTGGACTTGGACCTCGCCAATGTGTTGGACAAAATCTAGCAATGTTACAGGCCAAACTAGCCATGGCCATGATCTTGCAACGTTTCTCGTTTGATCTTGGACAAAGCTACCAGCACGCACCAACGGTCCTGATGCTTCTCTATCCTCAGTACGGTGCACCCATTATCTTTCGCAAATTGTAGACGCATGAACTATAAAGAGAGTCCAGTCCCTATATCATATGTGCGTGTGCCTACGATCTGTCATGTCTGTGTATGCAATGCATCTGCAACTATTTTTGAGAACCAAATTGCTTTGATTCATCTTTCATAAACGTTTTATCCCCTACATACATTTATATGATACAAAAATTATATACATTTATATGATACAAAAATTATATTTGTTGCGACACATAGTAAGCAATTACCTCCGTCATAGCCTAAACATCCAATGAATTGAATCCTCTTGCTTGCCCAGGGTACCCTGTTAAAGGGGACTTCCTCATCAAACAACCATAAAGAATCACGAAGGGGAACACTCCGGCAGGCCAAATGAGCCTCACGACCATATGGGATCGAATAGCAGATCAGGATGTAATGAACGAGACATCCTTTTTTTAATGCGAAAATCACCCTTCCTCAAGTAAATAATACATGGGCGGGACATGCCATGTCATTGATATGCTCAGCGAATCAATATGCACAATTTAATTTGGTCCTATCCAGCCATGAAAAATGCTCTTAACCAACTGAAATGTCGGCTTCCTCCAAAGAAAAGTCCTGCAGAAACATAAAGCACCTATTCTATATATTGACCAAGAAAAATGCCTTCCATTCTTCCGAACAAGTACACCACCGCATAAACGCCAAATTCATACTATGAAAATTTTGGACCTTGTATGACGTCTTTTACTGACAACCATCTATAACTTGACTTTTAATAATGCATTGATGCTCAATTATTACTGTTAAGGTTCGGTAAAATGAGCAAAGACACCCTAACTATAACGCGTGCGCTTACCTATTTACCTAAAAGCTCGAGTTATTAGGTAGTACGGCATACTTACCCATTTATACACACTTTAACTCACATCCAAATCCGATGTGGGACAAGTTTCACTTGTAACACTAATCATGATAAAATTACATACTTGCCCTTTGACTTCTGAATTGACCAATGTGAATCACTAAATTACTTTTATAACCTCCTATTAATTGACCAAAATGACCCTCAAGAATGAAAAAAACAAAGATGATTTTATTGTGACATGTTTTCTTTCTTTTTTTTCTTTGTTTTTGTGGAAGAAAAATGTGACATAAGTAATGTTTCAATAAATACTAAGAAATAAAAATATTAACTTGTGTGTGATTACTTGAATGTGATATTTAATATTTGAATATTAAAAATGGTATTTTAATATTTAATATATTACTACACAATAATAAAAAAATATTTAAAAACCATATTTCTTACTTTTTGAGATGGAAAGTCAAAGTTTTGTATTAGAATTTTGTTTAAGTAATAGATAATATAACTAATTCATCTATTTCAGCGAGGACATCAAACATGCACAAAAATAATAATAATAATAAAATAATAATAATCTTACAATGATTTTATATTATTTTAAAATTTTATGTTTACATTACTAGTTTGGTCCTCCAATTAAAAATTTCTAGCTTTGTCCCTATCTGTATGCATATGGCTTTGGCGGCCACAGTGGTGGAGTTTGATTTTTTTTTTTTTTAATTAAGGGTCATTTTGGTTAAATAAAAGAACTTTTAAAGGTTAATACTGTACTTTAATGATTTTAATGGATCAATTAAGAAGTCAAAGGACTATTTCATACTCTTATCATGGTTGAGGGTGTTGTTGTTCAAGTTTGAAAACTTGAGTAGGCAATTGAATTACACCCTCCCTAAATTGTATCTATCTATCTTTATTGCAAATGTGAGGAGGTGTGAATGCAAATTACCCATACTGTTAATACTATCATTTACTAAATTTACATTCTATATATTCTATTCTAGTTGGTATGTCTTCTCTAATTCTATGAAAATCATGCCTAGGTCTTTTCGTCTCCTACAATACTCTCTACTAATTACCTTGATAAGTAAATAACCTTTGTTGTATATCTCCCTGACATCAATCCAAATTGATTACTGGACACTAAACATTCTTTCCTCAATTTTTTTTTTCTATAATATAGATATAGATGTACTTTGTCTTTGTAAATTGGTATTATTGTATTGTAATTTTTTTTTTTTTGGTAATAGTCGGTGTTTGGGTTAGCTTGCTAGCGCATACCTCGACTAATTACGAGGTCTTGAAGTTAATAACAGAGTAAGCCTCCAGTTGTCCTGCGAAGACTCAAACTGGTAATCATTGAGGAGCAAACTCAAAACCTGACCAGAGCTATCCCGGTTGTATTATTGTACTTTTCTTCCATTAGTAATGCATTGTGTTGTATTGAAATTTTGTATTGTCCCGTTGACAGCCATATGGCCTACTTTTTTTTTTTTTTTTTTTGACAAGAACACCCTAAAGTTTAGTAAGATTAACAATAGCACTCCCAATCATTACCTGCCACATGTCAGTCGATAAATTAACCTTTATACCCTTTCACCTGTGAATTTATAAAATTTCATTTAGGATTTTTTTTTATATAAAATTTCTATTTTAACCTTTACAGTCATTTTAATGGACCAAATTAACCACCATCTCTACAAATCTAATGCACCTAGTCTCTCTCTCTACACATGTCTATGTATGTGTACATGTATAAAAACCACAAGTTCCTCAATATGATGAATAATTGAGATTTTTTTTCCTTGAAATAAAGGAATTCAATCACTCAAAAAGTTGATAAAAAAAATTAAAATAAAGACCCAAATGTGTGTGTAAGTATGCCTGTGCATAGATACATATATACCCACCAGTTCCTCAAATACGATGACCAAATGTGGAAGTACGCATGGGCATATGATATATATATTTATGCAGTACACATGTCAATCCTATATTTGAAATAGATTGGATAAGATGAATAAATATATGGAGATTGGACGTCAGTTACATAAATTCGCTTTAGGATTTATGTATGTCGCAGTGGTGGTATATGTTGTGAATTTGGAAATTTTAAGAATTTTAGGGATTTTATGGTATTTGTTTGCAAATTCTAAACAAAGCGCAAGGCAGGGTTGGTAGTCCATTGACCTTAACCTGTATGTGATGGTATGCTTGCCAAAAATCTGTCCTGAATTAAGGGCAGTGAGTGATATGGTTTATTTTCCAATGAGACTAAGGTAAAATTTAACCAAATCTGTCTCAAACTTAGTCCTATGTCATTCTTAATTCCACCTTTTTTTCTTTCATAATTAGGGGTGCGCGCAACTTAATTCGGGCTCGATCCTCGACTAAACAAGGAGACCGAGACCGATCCAATTTTAGTTCTACTACATTAATTTCAATCCAGAATATTTTCAGATCGAACAAGTTAACTGGATTAATCCATAATTTTTCTCTTTGAAGTATGCAATTGAATGGACTTACATTTTTTCTTTTATGTGAGCACATATTTTTTCAAAAAAATAATAATAATAATTCATTAATAAGGGCCTTTTTTATGTTTTAATTTAGACGCATATATTATCACTTCACCAAGTCACAAAAACATACCTTTAGCTGTTGCTACTCTGATGACACTGCCGGATCAACTTTGTAAAGCTCAGCGTAATTTTTTTTTTTTCAAAAAAAAAAAATAGGAACGATCTCTCTATTAAAAAAAAAAAAAAAAAAAACTAGACTAGAGTAACGTGCTTAAAAATTTGTTTTTATTTTTTTTTTTTGATTATTTTTATTTATTTGGCCCTTTTCACCCAACTTCTTAACACGTCAAAATTATTTTCTCACGTGCAAGCGCACCCCATTGGTTCCACTGCCAAGCTTCCCCCACTTCGCCAATTTCTTGACGCATTTCATTTCCATATTAGCTGAAACAAAATTCCTAGAGAGAATAGAGAGAGATAGAGCGCCGGAGCATTTTGATCTACGAAACAGGGGTCGACGTCGACCTGATATCAAAGCGAACCCTAGAATCAAAAGACCATGTGGAGAAGACTCTGTACACAGTTCCCAGTCCATTGCCGATCGCTTTCCAATCCAAATCGGTTCGTCGCCGGCAATGTCTCTTCTTCTCCCTCGCCGTTTCCGCCATCCGCCACTTCCTTCTCTCGCCGTTTCTCTTCCGCTTCTGGTACTCTCTCCTCACTCATCCCAAATCCCAACATTGCATTTCAGATCTTCCAGTGTGTGTTAATATTTATATTTATCTATAGCCTATCGGCTCCTAAGTTATCCTTTTTAGGATTGGATAATGATATGTATGAAATTGTTTGGATTTTGTAGCAGAGAATGTAGTTTCCAAGAAGAGAGTTGAAGATATAATGCCTATTGCCACTGGACACGAGCGCGAAGAGATTGAAGCTGAGCTTCAAGTGATTTTCTGTTACTTTATTATTGGGTTTACTTGAATTTAGTATTTTGTTTTGTAGTCATTGTGATTTTCTATTACTTTTTTTATAGGGACGTAAAATTCTGGATGTTAACTTTCCTGTTGGTCCTTTTGGTACGAAGGTTAGTGTCAATTGTAGTTTCAAGGATTTTATTTTGTTAATTGTTACTTTCGTTTGATGCTTTCTTTTATTTATTTATTTAAAATTGGTTTAAATGATTGAAAGCGAAGTGCTAATTATTTAGTATCAGGTTCTGTGCAATGGCTTTCTTAAGAGATTAATTTCCAATGCTTGATGTAAAGTTGTAATATCCAGTAGAGAATGTGTGGGTCCATATTGGGTTTTAGGTAAAATTTTATTTATGTGATTAATTTGGATAATTTTATCTGATTCATGAAGTGTTTAAAATAGAGCAACCTAGAATTTGACTCAAGGACCTCACTTCTATTTTTATAAATTTATATGGTAACATCTGCTTATGAAAATTTCAATAATGACATCAAGACTGTTTTCGATACATTCAGATATCTATTGGAATCTTACAACTTCTCACACCCTATTACTTTATAACATGTTGTATTTTTCTGTTCTTTAGTTCTTTAAAGCATCAAGACTGTTTCTCTTTTCTTTGGAGGCAATGTCTTATCTCAATTGTTGCTGAATTATTATAACAAAATTATTAGTTACTCTTTCTTTTTGCTAGTTAGTATGAGATCTTTATGTTTTTTATTTGCAAGGATCTGATCGTGTAAGATTCATTAGGCGCACATCCTAAGTTGGTATATTTAGCCATAAAATTTTGGGATTGCGAACTTTGTGACTGGTGAGGCAAAGTAAATTCAACGCATAAAAAAGTTTATAGTCCTGAAATCAAGTCTGAATTTACCCTATGCTTATAATTTAACTTTGTGTGGAAGGTTGGCCACTTTTGTGTAACGCTCTTCCATGCTTTCATGTTTCAGCTCTGACCCACATAGATTTCACTTTTCATTGAGCTTGCTGAGGTTTTGACAGCTCAATTTCTACAGAAGTGCACGTCTCATTCATGATAGGATATATCATATCAATGAGGATTTTATTATTATTGCAAGATTAAGTACAAATTTACCGTACATAGAAGAGGAAGTACAAATTTACCCCGTTTATGTATTGTGTGACAATGCCTGTATTATGAAATTTTAAGTATTTTTATGCTCAAAATTTTGTCTATGGTGCTTCAGGTCCTTTCTGATAAAGGATTCTCCATTGTCTAATGCATTATTGCTTTTCTCACTTTGTGGTTTGCTAAGTATTTGCGCTCAAATATATTTTACTTATCAAAAAAAAAAAAAAAAGTATTTGCGCTCAAATGAAAATCTACACTGATAGATTCTGGAATTAGAGAAAATTAGAAAAAACAGATCATTGTAAACTGTGCAGAAGTAATCTCTCTCATCTATGAAATAAACCTGCACTTATGTCCAAACTATAGACTATTTCATCATGTAAGTTCTGGTTTTTGAATCCCATCATGTTACATTTGAGCAACAAAAGTTAATTGCTTCTATTGTGGTCTTTTGACTCTTTCTAGTGTTACTTGGAATCATGACAAGATAACTGGTGGCGGAAAAGGAACAATTTGAGCAGAAGAGAGATTAGGGGAGTCATCTATTGATGATAAAATAAGAGAAAGTAGGTTTATTGGTATGGTCATACATAAGCCAAATAGATGCACCGGTGTAAAAAATAAAATAAAATAAAAGGAAAGGAAAAGAAAAGACTTGTTAAAAGGAGGATAAGTGATAAAGAGGCAGATTAAAATTTGTATGCGATGAAGTAATAAGAAAAACGCAAAAGAAGTGTTTTACTGTTAGGTTAGAGACTTACACAACCTTGGTTATTATTTTGTACAAAGTAACTGCTTTAAGGCTTGAACTTGCATCATCAAGAAGTTATATATATATATATATATATCTATCTCAAGACATTGCTTGTAATAGAAAATAGTGGGAGAAGAGATTTCACGTGTGTATATATATCAAGACATTTCTTGTAATAGAAAATAGTGGGAGAAGAGATTTCACGTGACTGATTCCATTTGATCGAGATAAGGATAAGGAGGATGACCAATTCGTTTCTAAAGGAAACCTTCTAAGTGACTTAAAAGCAAACAAATGTTGATTCCGATTTTGTAAATCCTGGAAGATTTGAACAAGTTGGGGATTATGTTATTAGGTCATAACTATATTATTGAAATTTATTCACATGTTTAATATTTCTAGCACTTACACATTTCATGCCCATTATATAATATTGTTGGGTGGGGAGCCTGGAATGTTATTTGTACTGATTTGATCATGTGGGGACTTTGGAAACATGATCTCATGAACTATCTTCATTCTGTTTGCTTGCAGGAAGCACCTTCTGTCATCAAGTCCTATTATGGCAAAAGGATTGTTGGATGCCCTGGCGGTGAAGGCGGTAATTATGACTAATTTGCAACAATTTTATTGATTACAAAAGGATTAATTAATTTTGTTTCATAATTTCTTTAATATCCATCTAACTGGTTTATTATTAGTTACTTAACACAAATTTTTCGTCCTCTGAACAGAGGATGAGCATGATGTGGTTTGGTTCTGGCTAGAGAAAGGCAAGCCGCACGAATGCCATGTGTGCTCGCAGTATTTTGTGGTGAGTGCAGGATAATCCTTGAATTAATCACTTATTTATAGAGCATGGCATGTAGCTGATAGATATCAACACAGTTTGGATGTGAAATTTTTATCCAGATCTTATTCCAGTATTCATTAATTCTGACTCGTACTGTTAAATTTAATCCATTACTTAGATCACTCGATATGATAATGATATATTTTGAGCTAAATATGTAATTTTAAGTTTGGGTGATATGTCATGACAATATAAGTTTCTTGAATTTATCAGTTTGTTTTCAAAATCAATTTGCAATTTGTAACGTGTCTTTGCCACTCTTTGTTAACTTGATTTAAATTTAATTCAAACATTTTTTTCAAATTTTGGAGGTACGGACTTTAGACAAGATCGAGATTTCGTTCAATAGCTTCCTTTCATGCTTTCATTTTACATTCAAAGTCGAGACGTGGTCAAATGGATCACTAAATTTCTTTTTATGCTATACTTGTACATGACAAAATACCAAAATGTTGCAGTCTTGGCCAGAAGTTTCTAAATTATCTGATTACTGTTCGTTCTGCAGTTGGAAGTGGTTGGCCCAGGAGGTCCTCCAGATGGGCATGACGATGATGACGAGCACTGATTGCAGTTCTGCCAGAAAGAAATCTGGTGAGACGATGATACAGAGTCTGGTCTATGAATTCAAAAGCTGTGTTTTGTTTGCTTTTGATTGATGGGTCTTCAGTTCTCATTGCTGATGCATTGGCAAGATTGAGTCCCATATAGTTCTCTCTTATTTTGGATATTAAACATGGGCTGGTGATTTCTTAGCATTTTGGATTCTTTTAGTTTTCTCCAAAGCATCACCAAATAATTGATAGCTACAATCTTTGTTCTTTTGAAAAAATTAGTTGTTTTAGTAAGCAGTGGATTTACCATCATTGTAGTAGCCACACCTCTTTGGTGGTTGCTTCATTACGAGATTGTATAATGCAAGGGATTTGACTTTCTTACTAATGGAATCGACAAGGATTTTTCTCCAAAACTTTTCTAGTGTTTGGTAAATGTAATGTGCAGCCCAGGTTGACATGAACGTAGTAGAACTTTGTCATTGATCGAGTAGACAACTAATTTACAGCCCAGTTTGGATTCAGTTCGAAAATGTTCAGTCATTTTAAGTTTTTTTTTTTTTTTTCGATATTTTATGCTCCGATGGAAAAAAAATTGGATGGAAGGAAGAGAAGAAGAGATGAACGAGACATTCCTAAGGAAGAGATTGTTTACTTCCCTCTTTTTGTTTGGTTGAATGGAAGAGAAGAGAATGAGATAATATCTTATTTTTGTTGTCATGAGAGAAAGGAAGAGAAATGGCTAATTATAAGGAAAATTTTGTAATTTAAAAACATTTATAATAGCAGGATTTTTCTTCCTTCGTGTCTTCCTTCCATGGAGGGAAGAAGATTCGTAAAGGAGAAAGAATGATTCATTCATCCTTTATTTTTTTCTCTCCTTGTCTCCTCTTTACCAAACAAATTAGTTTATTTCTTCCCCCGATTTTCCTCCATCCCTCTTCTTTAATAACTTAATAAAGCATTTTTTACGGTATAAAATAAGAAACTGTACAGTTGGCCACAATAAGTGGAATGGGCCAAAAAGGCTCAAAAACCTTCCAAGTAGAGCAAACAAAAACCTTCCAAACAGGATCTGAACTATTTGCGCAACGCTAGAAACCCCCATGTAGAGCAGAAAGCCCAATAAGATGAGAATTTTTTGAAATTTATTCTTCATTCAAACTACTTTGTTTAAAGCTTGAATTTGCAAAAAAATAAAAGTAAAAGACTAAACGAAAAATGCAAATTGTGTAGTTAATGGCATACAACCAATTTACATTATAGAGTATGTATAAGTACATTATATACCACTAATCTGGAGGTACTTTCATCTTTCAAAATAGAAGATGGTGAATTCAAGTTCTATTGAAGCAAATGGGTGTTGTGTGCTATTTGTCAATATATGTTTTTTATTTATATTAGTCTATATAAATATAATATTATTAATGGAATCAGGCTTTGAGGGATAGGCTGGATGGACCTAGGGATTGCAAATGAACACTGAATCAAACTGAGCTTGGGTTTGAACTCGTCATTATTTAAAAAAATTGGATTTGACTTTGGCTCATTTAATAAAATGAACCAAGCTCGTGTTCATAATCAATTTTGGCTCTTTCATTTCGTAAACCATTATATTCTTGCCAGGATCATTTAGTAAATCTTTATACTTTCATTCAAAGATGGACGAATTCTAATAGAATATATATATAAAAACTAATATCCAAACATAAATGTGTAGCATGGATAAAGTGAATATTATCCAAAAGCTCATAATTTTAACAGACCAATCAACTTACTGTTTATATAAACATTGCATTGAAAAAGTATTGTACAGAAACAAGGACCATAAACATATACAAGTGTGTGTTCACAAATGTATACGAATCAACATGAGCCCTACCCACCCCCTTTCGAGGGTTTGGCCTCTAACAGGATAAAGGCTTGTTGCTTGAGATGGGTTTTTGGCCTCAAGTTTTTTTATGCCACTTTCGTTTTTTTTCAATAAATTACATTAACACTCCATTAGGTTTGTTTATTTATTTACCCTCCATTTCATAGTATTTGTTATTATAAGTGAAACTTGTCTCACATCGGATTCGGATAAAAATTGAAATGTGTATAAATGGGTAGGTATGTAGCACTACCTAACAATTTAAATTTTTGAATAAATAGACAAGCGTCCACCCGTTACCGTTGGCATCAGAACCAGACCCAGACCCAGTTCTTGATCTGACCTATTACCGTTAATATCAGAACCAGACCCAATTCTTGATCTGACGTTACACTAAGTGCTCGGCTCGGAGATGCTCGGGTCTTCTTCCTATATAATAGTCATTTCATAAAAAATATTTTTAATCAAAATAAATTTATAGTTCTCTCATACTAATAAATAAAAGAAAAAAATAAAATAAAGAAAAGAAGATTTCTCTCCCCACCCGCCTACCTCCACGGCTCTACTTGTTATCTCTCCCTCCACCACCATTCTCTCAGGTGCCCACCTCCATCGTCAAATAAAAAGGAACACACCCTCCATTTACTTTGTGTGATGTGATAAATGCATTATATTTTTGTATAAATGCATTTTTTTAAGAAAAATTAAAGGATTTAAATGTCTTTTGTACTATCTTAAATTAAATTAATGTGGATGATAATAATTTTTAAAAGATATTTTAATGTGATATTTGGTCAAATTTGAGAATGTATATGATAATAATTTTAAAAAAATATTTTAGTATAATATTTGGCCAAATATAAGGAGTTCTTACTGAAATTAATCATAATATTAATAATGTCATTTTATATTAAAAATGGAGTATATTTACATAGTGCATTTTGTTTTATTTTCAGTGCAAAAGGAAACAGAATACAAACTACAAAGCAAATAGAGGGCAAAACTGTAATTTAAGTACTGGTTTTGAATTCCTTCGCTAGGGTTTAAGGAAACGCAACAGCGGAGTCTGGGTTTTTACAGTGGTGTTTGGACGGAGGGATTCAGAGAGAAGGTGAGGGAGAGAAAAGCATATTATTTCCTTCATTCAATAATCGCTGAAAGTCTCGAGTCTTTCTCTCACAAATGAACTACAGGTTTCAGAACCTCCTCGGAGCTCCGTACAGAGGAGGAAACGCCGTCGTCACCAACAACACTCTCCTAATCTCACCCGTCGGTAACCGGATCTCAGTCACTGACCTCATCAAATCCCGAACCCTAACCCTACCATGCCACGCCTCCTCCAACATCGCTCGAATCGCCGCCTCCCCCGACGGCCTCTTCCTCCTCGCTGTCGACGATAAGTCTCGCTGTCTCTTCATCAACCTTCACCGTCGTGTCGTCCTCCACCGAATCTCCTTCAAGAAGCCAGTTGGCGCCATCAAGTTCAGCCCTGACGGCACACTCATCGCCGTCGGGGTCGGTAAATTGCTCCAAATTTGGCGGTCACCGGGGTTCAAGAAGGAGTTCTTTCCGTTCGAATTGATTCGGACTTTTGCGGATTGCGATGATAAGGTCACGGTGTTAAATTGGAGTCCCGACTCGAATTACATACTGGCTGGGTCAAAGGACTTGACGGCGAGGTTGTTTTGTGTGAAGAAATTGAGTGGCTTTAACAAGCCTTATATGTTTTTAGGACATAGAGATGTAATTGTGGGTGTTTTCTTTGGTGTTGATAAGAAAACAAACAGGGTTTCTAGGGTTTATACATTATCACGTGATGGCTCGATTTTTAGCTGGAGTTATAGTGGCATTGATGGTAAATTTGATAACAATGCAGAACCACCTTCTCCGGGCACGCCGGAGCAATTGCCAAATCAGAGTGGGGAGAATGAAGGTAATGGTAATGTGAAAAAAAGGAAGCATTTTGATGGTGGTGATGGTAATTTGGACGAAGAAAGCGAAATTTTGTTGCATAAAGGGAAATGGGAGTTGTTGAGGAAGGACTATTTTATGCAGTCGCCAGCAAAGTTGACAGCTTGTGATTATCACCAGGGTCTTGATCTCGTGGTTGTGGGGTTCTCAAATGGTGTTTTTGGGCTGTACCAGATGCCTGATTTCATTTGCATTCACTTATTGTCAATATCAAGGGAGAAGATTACAACTGCCGTGTTTAATGATCTAGGGAACTGGTTGACATTCGGGTGTGCCAAACTTGGGCAGTTGCTTGTTTGGGAGTGGAAATCGGAAAGTTACATACTGAAACAGCAGGGACATTACTTTGATGTGAATTGTCTTGCATATTCGCCAGATTCACAACTTTTGGCTACTGGAGCGGATGACAACAAAATCAAGGTGAGGAAAGATGAAATATGATTTCTAATGTTCATATATGAATTTTAGCTTTAAATAAATTGCTGTTTGTTACTTGATAGTGTGCTTATACGGAGCAAATATAAAAAATAAGCATTCACTTATGTGGTGTCCTAAAATTGGCAAAGTGAGGTGTTGGTCATGGTTTCTTCAGTTACGCCCACTCTTCTGTGTATGAGATCCTACTTACTTTCATATGATGGCTTTGCACAACTTCAATTCCTGACGTCAATTCCTTTTCCTCTTGGACCTCTTCTTTGTGGTCTATGAATGATAGAATTTAAACTTACCATCATATTGTTTTAACATTTTGTGAATTCTTAGGAATCATCATCATCGTCACCTGTCTTGCCTTTACATTGTACGAACAGAGTCAGCCACATAGATTTCTATTTTTTCTATATTTTCAATCATAAGTCACTTCTCCTATTAGATTTAATTTTGTAAATCATTTCTTATCACTTCACCTCATGTTAGTTTTGGTCGACCTCTTTGTCTTTTATCTTCTACACAAACCAATCTTCCGCTTCTAACTGGTGCATCTACAAATATACATTGAATATGTCCATGCCACCTAAGTCTACTATCTCTATTTTTGTCAATAGTAGGCGTCACTCCTAAACTCTCTCTTATACTTTGATGATTAATCTTATATCTTTTACTTACTCGTAACATCCATCTCAACATTCTCAATTAAGCCACATTAATGCATTGTTCATGTTTCTTCTCTAATGCCAAACCCTCTGCAAACACACCTTAAATAATTTTGTAGTGCTGAAGTTTCTCTTTCGTGATTGTCTTAATATTTTACATTATCATGTTCCATATGTTTGTTTATGTCTAGCTGTTCATTAGCTTTTGCGGTAAACTCAAGCAGAAAATATATTGCATGCTTGTTATAGGTGTGGACTGTTTCATCAGGGTTCTGCTTTGTGACATTCTCCGAGCACACTAATGCCGTAACTGCACTCCATTTTATGGCCAACAACCATTGTCTCTTAAGTGCATCTCTAGATGGGACTGTTCGTGCATGGGATCTATTCCGTTATCGGAATTTTAGGACCTTTACCACTCCTTCCTCTAAGCAATTTGTTTCTTTAGCATCAGATCAGAGTGGTGAAGTGATTTGTGCTGGAACTCTTGATTCATTCGAGGTACTGACTATCTCTGAATGGATTTGACATTACTCTGGCATCATTTTATTTTCTATTGACAGGCTATTTATATCTGTATGTATATCAGATTTTTGTTTGGTCGATGAAGACAGGCCGGTTGTTGGATGTTCTTAGTGGTCACGAGGGTCCTGTTCATGGGTTAATGTTTTCTCCTACAAATGTGAGTTCATTTGTGTTTTGATATATTCATGTAGAAATATGGTACTGCATGTGCCTGATTTAATTTAGAGTCTTATGGTTCTTGCATAGTTTCTTTATTTGAACATTGCTTGTCAGAAACTGTCTCCTCTCCTTCATTACTTTGGCCATTTGTGATATTAAACAGGATTTAAATTGGCTTACCCAAAGTGGGAAAGCAGGAATAGAAGGGCAGCATGACAACTACTAGAATATTCCTCCTGTTCCTGTCTATCTTTCACATCCCTATCTTCTTAATATCTAACTAATTTGAAGTGCATACTGAGTTAATATATAGAGTATTAGTTGTAGTTCATATTTTTATTTTTCTTTATTGGTTGTATGATAGTTGTTTTTGGATGTAGGCAACTTTAGCTTCATCTTCATGGGACAGAACTGTTCGCTTGTGGGATGTTTTTGAAGGAAAAGGTGCGGTTGAAACATTTTCCCACACACATGATGTTCTAACAGTTGTTTATCGTCCAGATGGAAAGCAATTGGCTTGTAGCACGTTAGATGGGCAAATTCATTTCTGGGATCCGATTGATGGCTTGTTGATGTACACTATTGAGGGTCGTAGAGATATTTCTGGAGGGCGCCTCATGACTGATCGTAGAACTGCTGCTAACTCTAGTTCTGGGAAGTGCTTCACAACCTTATGTTATTCTGCTGATGGGAGTTACATATTAGCTGGGGGAAGTAGTAAATACATTTGCATGTATGATATTGCTGATCAGGTAAACTTGCCTGCATTTATTATCTGCAGAAATAACTTTTATTTCTTTGCATGAAACAGCTTTTATTTTGCATATATTAAACTGCATCCTGCTCTCTGTAAGCTGTTTCTAGACCATTCTCGGTAATGTCGTCTTTTTCTGGAATAATATTGCTAGCATTATACTGCTGAGAAATAGAGAGCTTCAGAGTCATCCATTAAGGCTCCGTTTGTTTAGGCATAAAATGTTTATATCGGAATTTACATGAAAATAATTTTTTTTTTCTTCTTATTTCCAGTGCTCTGTAGAGGTTTTGAAATTAAGTTACCAATTCTTAGAAAATGCGTAATAAACATTTATACAAGCATTTTGTATTAGTTTACATATTGGTTGATATAAAAGCAAGTATGCATTGGAGTATGGACAGAATTACGTACACAAATTTCTATATGTACACACTTATAGATACATGTATAAATTTATATATATGTATATATGTGTGCTCTATAATCCTAAACAAATTTAGCTTTCATGCTGTACATTATTCAAAGTATTTTTTTTTTTTGCCTGGTAATTTCATCGTTAAAAGTTTTATCTCTTCTTGCCACTTTATTTCATTTTTTGTATTTTGTGTTATTTTTTTATTTATTTTTGTTAAAAGACAATTAGCAATATTCTTCTACCCTTCTTAGAAAGGGTTAGATTGAGCTAGTCAAAGAATAGAGTTATGTAGCTCTCACAAGGTTCAGTCCCAAATCTCAAGAAAAGGATTTAAAAAGTTTCATTTAACCAAGAAATTTCTATCCTTGTCTGAAAGCTACTGTGTATATATTTTGAAGGCATGAAGAGTTCAAAGTTTCATCAAACTTTTATTACCTTACAAGCATGGAATTGCTTTGTTCTAGTTGCATTTCATTGTGTGCGTGAAATAGCTTTCCACAACTAGAGATGTGAAATAGTGTGCGTGTAGTATGTCATCCCCCATTCTGGTCCTCTCCCTCTTCCCTTCCTTCAACACATGTTCTAAGATACCATATGCATTTTACTGCTTTTTTAATTTCTGTTCTGGTGAATTCGTTTGTTTGTCAATTGGATTTCTATCTATTATTACACAAAAATATTGAGTTTACCAAACAGTTATTTATTTTTTCATTAATTTGAATGCTAGGAACTCCAATGAGTTCATTAAGTGAGCACTTATTTTTAAACCTCTATAAATTGTTATACTTGTGATCATATTAACCTCATTTCTTGTTTTCCTATATCTGATGGGTGATCTGTTACAGTTGTCTGCCTCAACAGGCTTTAAATTTATCCTGCTTTTCAATGTTTTCTCTGCTATATTTTCAAAGTTAGGGTATCATGAGGTGGGCCTATTTATGAATTGTATTTTTAAAATCTTACAGGTATTGCTGCGCAGATTTCAAATAACCCACAATCTGTCCTTAGATGGAGTGCTTGACTTCCTGAACTCAAAGAATATGACAGAATCTGGTCCACTGAATTTAATTGATGATGATAATAGTGATGCAGAGGATGGTGTTGATAAACAAACGAGAGGAAATCTGGCTTATGATTTGCCAGGATCCATGCCTAACCGTGGAAGGCCTATTATTCGAACAAAATGCCTGAGAATTGCTCCAACTGGCCGGAGTTGGGCAGCTGCAACAACAGAAGGAGTTCTAGTTTATTCTGTTGACGAATCCTTTATCTTTGACCCCACTGATCTTGACCTTGATGTTACACCAGAGGTATCTTTTTGATATTTTAGAATTTGGCCTATCTCCTACAATGACATCTCTTCTTAGAGGAGGATTAGAATCGCATTAAAACAATATTTGAATCTTCATCTTTTCTAAAATGGTTTGTCGAAGGGAATTTAGATACCAATAGAGCAAAATAGTTTCTTAGTAATTGAGATGCATTTAATTTATCATGAAGTGGCAATATCTGCAGTATTAATTTCTATGTTTTTCATTTATATTTCCTTGTTACACAGGCAGTTGATGTAGCACTAAGTGAAGATCAACCAAACAGAGCTTTAGTTCTCAGTCTACGTTTAAATGAAGATGCACTAATTAAAAAGTGCATTCTTGCTATCAATCCAGTAGATATACCGGCTGTTGCTTCATCAGTCCCTTTCAGATATTTGCAGAGATTAATTGAGGCATTTGCAAATCTTCTGGAGAACTGTCCCCATTTGGAGTTAGTTCTTCGATGGAGTCAGGTTTTTCTCATCTCTATTGTAACTATTACCACCATTGCTGTTATTAGTATTATTATGAAAATCTAATACTTCAAACTTTATTGGTCTGTGTGGCAGGAGCTGTGCAAGGCTCATGGTCACTCCATTCAACAGAATTCCAGAAATTTGCTTCCTGCTCTAAAATCCTTGCAGAAGGCAATTACTAGATTACATCAGGATTTGGCAGATACCTGCTCTTCAAATGAATATTTGCTTCGATATTTATGCTCTACAAGCACCAAGAAATGATCTGTCCACTGTTTCAATTGGTTGGCACCGTGGTAAGATCCACTGAAGGAAGTATGTAGTACCAAATCTGGTTGTTGTTTTTTTTTAATTAAATCTGGTTGTTCAAGCATTGTTTGAGTTATTCCTGCTTAAAATTTTCTCTCCATTATATAGCAGATTAGCAATCTAGATAACATAGAAAATGTCTTCTGCTAAAGTGGCTTTCTGTAGAACAGTAGACTTCGGATAAAAGTTAACTTCGGAACTATGTGATTCTGTTTTGTTTGTTAAACTTCGTGTTTGAAAGGGATGGTGCTTTTCAGAACAGTTAGGCAGATCATTCTGCTGGACTGAAAAGTAACTTGAAACTGGGTTCTTTCAATCCTGGACAAAATAGCTGTTTATTCTGATTGGGTCTGCTGACATTATTGAGAATTTTTTAAAGAATATTATACGAGTACGTCTGCTTAAAGAAATCAAAGGTGGGAATCGGTATCCCATTCTCATTGCTCTTATTTCCTACTTTTTGTGCATGCTATTGACAAATACCCTTAAATAATGGTTATCCCGTTCTCACTAGGAGAATGGTATTTTCATTTCCATTCTTACAGGAATCAAGGTTATTTATTAATGGAAGAAGGCTGACAGTTATATTCGTCGAACTAATCAGTAAGAAATAAATGAAACTAACTATTCAAAAACATGCATTACATTATAACATTTAAATACAACTGAATAATATTATTTTGTAATATCATTTTATATTGACTTTTTTTTTTATAAGTAAAAATTTTATAAAAAAACGCTCAAAAGGGGAGCGGAACCCAAGCAAATACAAAAGACCACAAAGGCCTCAAGCCTTCAAAGAGGCTAAAAAATCAACTACTTCCTCCAAAGAACAATGATCTCTTCCTGAAACCCAACAAAAAAGAGTAGAAATAATCGAGAATTTAAGCACCGAAATCGACAAAGACTTTCCTTCAAAGAATCTCCTATTCCTTTTTCAAGCCATAAACACCACCACACACAAAGCGACGTAGCCCTCCACGCATCCTGACTGAGAGCCCCCACAGGGCAACCTCTCCACGCCTCAATCAACCCTATCCAGGCATAACCCAAGAAACACCAAATAAGCCAAGCATCAAAACCCAACACTCTCTAGCCAAAGGGCAATGAATAAGAAGCTGATTTACAGACTCCTCATCACTAAGACACATAGAGCAACGGTTGACCACCACCTGGCTTCTCCTTCTCAGATTATTCTAGGTTAAAATCCTACCCAGGACCGAAATCCACACAAAGAAAGCCACCTTAAGAGGAGCCTTGGATCGCCAAACAGACTTCCAAGGGAAACGAACTCCAGGAACAAAAGAGAGGCACTTGAAGAAAAACCTCACCTCAAAGCACCCCTGAGAGTTTGCAATCCAAGACCAACAGTCCGAATCCTCCTCCACAATCCTCTGGCGATATAACAACTCCAAGAAACGAATGACCTCCTCGATCTCCCAATCCTGAAAGGAACGCCTGAATCGAACATCCCAAACCAGTCTTCCATTATCAAGATGATAACAGTTAACCACCATGGCCTGCTTATCCGTAGCAATCCTGTAAAGCTGAGGAAAGGCGAGGGCAAGAGGCACATCTCCACACCACACATCCTCCCAGAAGCGAATCCTCCTCCCATCTCTGAGACGAAACCGAATATGCTTGGAAAAATCATCCCAACCCTTCCGAATAAATTTCCAAACCCCCACCCCCCGAGGATCTCTAACTTCCAAAGAACTCCACCCTCCTCTCATTTCCCCAAAACGACATGCCACAACCCTCCTCCAAAGCCGATGTCTCTCCACCCCAAACCTCCACAACCATTTCCCAAGGAGGGCCTTATTAAAGGGCACCAATTTACGGAGACCTAACCCACCATTGCGAATTGGCCTACAAACTTGGTCCCATCTCACCAAATGAAACTTAAACTCTTCACCTCTACCCCCCCACAGAAAATTACGCTGCAACCTCTCTATCCTTTCCGCAACTGAAGAGGGAATCTGGAAAAGAGAGAGAAAATACGTGGGAATACAAGAGAGGGTGCTCTTAATCAGCGTGACCCTACCGCTCTTGGAGAGATACTGCTTCTTCTAACCCGCCAACCTTCTCTCAAATATGTCCGCCACTGGATCCCAAATCCCCACACACCTCGAAGGAGCTCCCAGAGGCAATCCTAAGTAAGAAATGGGAAATGAACCAGTACGATAGCCAAGAATATCAGCAAAAGTCTCAATCTCAGGGACCTCCCCAACCGGCACCAAAACAATTTTTCCCACATTCACTTTAAGGCCGGAAACAACTTGGAACCAAATCAAAACACATCTCAAATATCTAATCTGAGAAACGTTCGCATCACAAAGAACTAAAGTGTCATCAGGAAACATCAAATGAGAGATTTCCAACTGAGAATCTGCCTCCCTGCCCACCTGGAAGCCTCTCAAAAGACCCAACTCGGTAGCCCTTCTCATCAATCTACTAAGGGCCTCCATCACAAACAAGAACAAGAAGGGGGAAAGGGGATCTCCCTGTCTTAAGCCCCTTGAACTGGAGAAAAAACCAGTAGGAGCACCATTAACAAGGATCGAAAAGCGAGCACTGGAATATCATTTTATATTGACTTAAAAACATAACTTTAATTTCAATAATGAGTAGCTAAAATTCCTATTATAAATTAAGATATTACAAATAACCAATGGATGCAATAAATCTTTTAAGATATTACAATTGCATAAAAAGTAATAAAATCAGCCCTTTCAGGAATTGATGTTTCATTTAATCTTTAGTAATGTTATTGATGGTTCATACAAGTAATATTTACATCTACCAAAATAGCCAAAGTAAACAATTCCTTTTAAGGCTATTTTTGAAAGTAAAAAATTGGTTCTATTTCTTCATTATAAAATTCTTATATGACTTGGTAGAACTTTGAATGGACATGAATTTTAAAATATTTACTAACTTGTCCAATAAAATGTTATGAGAATATTTGATTACCTACTGGTATTACTGGGTATCTCATACCTAGTTATCGGATACCAATTCTTGGATTCCAATCTGGCAGCCAAATGCATACGACGAATAAACTCCATTGCAGTGACCACTTCCTACATAACTCTTTCTGATAATTGAACACCATTATCATTTAACATGCATTTCTCTAGTCCATTCTTTTAAATGCTCGGAAGTCAGACCACTTGGGAAATTGCAATAATAACATACGGACAATATTTTTAGCTGTTATCAATGAAGATAATATAATATATTTTCTAAAAATCGATTGAGTTACTAACATGGAACCTCTTATTACTTGAGCAAGTGGAATGGTATCCCAGGCTTCTGCTATTTCTATCTTTGTTTTCTCCTTTCATTTGTTCTCTTGTTTTTTAGCCTAATTCAAATGGGGAACAAAAGCCGCTTAACTGGGTCTTGGTTGCTTGTTGCCCCAAAATGCACAGCCCATCAAGTCATCCATGTTTGACAGGAAGTTGTAATAATATTCACATGAAATCATATATGCATGATTTTTTATAATGTGGGGCTTCTCCAGTTGTAAGATACGAGGCAATTACTAGATGGGGAATCACTGGGAGGGGAAGGCTGAATATAGAATGAACTTTTGGCCTTTTTTGCTCAAAATGGTTGCTCTCATATTCAAATTTGTGTCCTCAACATTTGTCAACCTGAGCTTTTACCAGCACACCAAGTAGTTCCCATAAAATGCCAAAACACATAAAATGAATCTATTTCAGCCAAAACTTTCAGGTTGCAAACTATTTGTCTTCATTAGCAGCATCCTTTTCTCAAACTTCTTGTATCGGCTTTTCTTTTGATAGGTAAGTCACATAGGTGCACCCATTTGGACTTATACCCTCGACCTCCTTCCATTTGGAAGGAAGAGGGTATATCACTTGGCTAAGCCCTTGGTATCCTTTCATTATCATTCACTTGAAACAAGACTTTGAGATTTCTTTCTGACATTGCTTCCTTGATCCCTATAACTCGAATCAATGTATTGAAATTGGACAAGGCTGATACTTGGTTTGCTCCCAGAACCTTGACAAGACAGAAATTTCTGTGTGACAGTTCTCCTGTATTAAGATCTAGACCCTAATTAGTGAGTTCCTATATGGGGCTGGCATGCTTATTAAACTGGGTGAGTTGTCGCACATGGTTCATTGGGCAGCTTGTAGTCTTATTTTGTTTCATATCGTGAATCATTGGTTACATTCGTGTTTGTAACCTAAATTTATATTAGGTGTTATGTTAAAAAAATATCACTATGGGAGATTCGCGTGACAATTCAAGGCTGTTTCTTGAACATTAAGTGTCAATGGCACTAGCTTTATAATATGACAAAGCTATCATGGGGGTGCACTCACACTGAGAGCCCTCGTGATAGACTTGCTCTTCATAATATTTCGGTTGTAGAATATCAACATTTCGTAGCGGTTATCCTTCAAATGTTGAGAAGGCACAAAATCACATGAAATTATTAGTTTTCCGTTTATCACTTAAAGAACCATGTAGCCATTGTATGTAAAACCTATACTAATAAGCTTTATGCACGGAATATGATATATAAGGTAGACTGGCTATAATTTGAGGCCTTAGGCGAAATATATAAAAGTGGCTTGTTTATATGTAGTGTGCATATATATTGATAAGTAATTTATGCATTAAAAGGCCTTCAAAAAGGGAACACATCCTTGTGACATAGTTCGTCTTCCTAATAAGATTACATTTTTTATTTTTCATAAATAATTAGATTACATTTTAAAAGGCTCAATAGTTAAGAATGTTTATTTAACTATTATTTTATATTAATATAGTACATAATAAAAGGCCACTTTTATATTTTTCACCTCTAAGGCCTCAAATTATATTGAGCCAGCCATGTCAGCTGCGCAGCTAATTGAATGAAGGTACCAAAGTAGTTGCTTGATCCACAATTCTCACACCAGCTGGATCAGCTTATGCCTTCGTGAAGGCTGAGAGGCATCCAGTTTTCAAAACTGAATTTTTTTTTTTTGTCCTCATTTTTTCCTTTTCAAGCTTCCTCTTAGCCCAGATATTTCTCTTTATTAAGTCTTATTTATCACATTTTGTCCAAACCAAGGTATGTCAGAAGGTCAAATGAACCTCTGCTCGACAAGTTAATCCTATGGGATCAGAATTGCTTCATGTTTTATTTTGAATTTTATAGCAGAGTACTCATCTAGAAGAAAGATTTTGTAGCACAGAAATGCTCTTTATTTAGCCAACCTTCTCTGAATGAAATTTCCGAAGAGGTTATTCGCTATGTTTATAGCTAGAAAATTGACCATTTAACATTCTCCATCAGTCCTTTCTAATTGAACCTTTGTTGTGCTTGTTATTTAATACTGGGTTTTGAACTGTTGGTGCATTTAGGTCTCTGAATTAGATATTTTTTTGTCAGCCATTGTTAAAGCTTTTCATGTTGTTTAACAGTGGTTTGCAAAGACATTTTGTGCCTACTTTTCTTAATATGGTCTTCATGGATATTGACCTCATCTGTACCTCATTAGTAAATATGAATTTTTGATAATATACTAATTCTTTGGCTTGTTGATGCCTTTAAAAGTGCTTCCTGTCACTTCTCTTTTGGAATGAGAATTATTCTTGTGTGTTTCTCTTCATGTTATGCATCTGTTGCAGTTAATGCACATCTTCCTGTAAATCTTTATAATAATTCCAATGGACCATCATATCTCATGTTGAAATTGTTTGCAGGGTATGATAATTGATTGTGCACGACTGGTGGATGAGAGAGCAATTTTTCACTGAAATAACAACAAAGTCCTGCTTGTGTTATAACTTCAAATACGGTTGGTGGGCATATCACAGCAGAGAGACCTTGTAATGCTCACATTGTCACAGCATGCGCCTAAAGTGGTTCAATAAAGATGCCAATGGACATTAAATTTCTTTGAAGTCCTTCAGTGCCGTATGTTTTGAAGATGAATCTCCCTCATTCTAATGCTGAAGAATGGTATTTCTCTATTATCTGTCGTCCCTTTTTAAGCTAACTCCATGTATTGTAGCTTTACTTCGGGATGTGTTTCTGAAGATGGACAATCAATGGTACCCCATTCACAAGGCAAATTTTGTTTCTAAGTGGAACATTGTATACCAGTTCTTAGTTCCTGAATATCTAAGTGGAACATTGTACCAGTGGGCTTTAGTTATTTTATGATAGTTTATAAAAATATCAAAATGATTGATGTAAGAGTTTTTGACTTCTAATAGCAATTTTGATTAGCATGTGTTTGAATCTTTGTGGGACAATGCATTATTTTTCAAATCACCCCTTTAGCTTCAAATTTTAAGGAGTGAGAGCAGTTGATGATATGGCTTGTTGGGGTGCAGAAAGGTTTCCAAGTAAGACTGGCTTGGAGGTTGTGAATACTTATTTATTTAATTTGGGTCATTTGCTCATGTATTCTTTTTTATAGGTGAAGGTCCAATATGACTTTGAATTAGTATTTGTCTGTCCACGACTCCATGAGTAAGTTTTACTAACTCAGCATCCTTAGTCGCTGCTTATTCTCATTAAACTAAAACTAGTTACATTTTGCTGGAAAATTACTTTTCATTTAATTTGGATGTTGGATCCAAAAAATTTGTCAAAAAATATCTGTTTTTCCATCTTTTTCCATTCCATCGTTTTTCCTCTCTTCATAAAATTCAAGCTAATTTGAATTGAAGTTTTTACTACTATAGTACATTTAGGTACTTATTTGATAAAACTAAATATTTAGATGTGAAAATTTATTGAGATTTGTAGAAATTGATGATTCAGCCCTTAAATCTAAAAAAGTAAAATTAACTCGACATTATGCCTATGTATGGTAAGATGAAGGAAGGAGAAGGAAAAGGGATAAAGGCATTTCTTAGGACCTGCCATTTTGCTTTGAGTAATGCTACTACGAGCTCTCCCTTGTCAGAATTCTAATGAGCCTTTTTTTTTTCATGATTATATACAAATATTGAGGCATGAACTCAAGCACTTGAAAGAGAACTAAAAGAGAATTATATAGCTAAATTTGTGTTCAAAAACTCATTAACAAGTCGATCATACGAGTCGGTCAAAATTTTACACTTTTTTTCTTGTTTAAATTGCATTCTTAACTTTGACCGACTCGTGTATTGTATTGTTAATAAAATTTTAATTATATAATCCTCGTTTAGTCATTTTCTAAGTGGTTAAGTTCATATTCTAAGTGGTTAAGTTCATATCTCAATATTTGTACATAATTATGACAAAAAACAAAAGAGAGAGCTTACGAGAAATCTAATGAAAGAGACCTCATAGTAACATTACTATTTCGCTAGTGCAAGAGGGGATTGAGGATGATGTGTGTGTAAAATAAACATGAATATATTAATTTATGTATTTCTTGGTCTAGTAATAAAATGATAATATTATCCACTTTCTTCCTATTCATCCAACCAAACAAGAGGAGGAACAAAAACCTAGGTCTGCTTAGACTTAAAATTCAAAACAGATATAGCTAAAATAATAATCACTAGGACTAGTTTATGCCTACCACATTTTTACCAAACAGCAGTTTAGCCAACACTTGGAATATGAAACCACCATCATAGCTGTCAACACAATGCGAACGTTTGTTTCAAGAGTCACATAGCTTTGTCAACACATTTTACAAGCTTGTGTCCTCTCATGGTGCATTGACATTGCAAGCACCAAGGCCACAACCAAATCAGAAGGATAAACAACACAGCCAAATCACAACACGCCACAGATGTAAACGAAAAGGGTTTTATTAGAAACAAGAACACTGTGATTGGCAGCAGCAAACCACATCCACCGACCAGATTTCTAAATAATCACACACATATGCAGGAATAATACAGACGTGAGAGTTCGTAGGAGGATGACACATACACAAGCTCAACAAACAACAATGTTGAGTGAATTCATATTTGATAACCACCAAAAATGGTTTTCTTTTCTTCTGATTTTTTGAGAAAGAATAACGCTGTGAAAACCTGCTAGCCTCTACTTCTACTGCTCCACCTCAAATATAAATAAAAGAACCCACAAATCCAGGACCCGTGTCTTCAGACCACTACTTCTTCCCAAAAATAGGTAAAAGGTGATGAAAAATCGAGCAACTGGACAAAAGCACAAACATTTAAACCCTTGAACTAAACCTGCAGGGAGACCATGTGCCACAATCACTAGTTATTTTGTCTTGAACGTTGTCGACGTAGACCCCAGGCATGCCCTGATGACATATTTCCATGCAGTCTAGTAGTATTAACCTCCATGGGATAAGTTTGCCTTGACCGTATTGCTGATCTCCTTTCAAGCGAAGGGCGACTACCTCTTCTATCACCAGACTCACTTGTCTCGAGCAAAGGAGCGAATGGGAAGAACTCATCAAGAAACGAGAAAGGAAGCTCAAAGTCAAAATCTGCGCACAACAAACTACCGTCATTCCTTTCTTCCTCAGATTCCGAGTGTATAGTGCTGAAGAAATTCTCAAAGTCCATTAACTGCTCCACATTTACTAAGTTATCCTCCCATTCCGCATTTATTGTTCTGATGTAATCCTCGGAGTCCCATAGCTCTAATAAGATGTTCCCTTCATTCCCTTCGTCACCAGAGTCCAATTGGTATGCATTAAAAGCATCCTGGAAGTCTCTTTCACGCTCCAACCTAGTCCACTCATGCTGCCGTCTTGGATCCACCTCAGATGGTCGGACAGAAGGGTGTTCAAGCCTTGCATGCCTTCTTAGCACTGAGTAAGTCCCACTAAAATCACACGTCTCAAGTGAACAACTCCTATGTTTGGAATTCATGAACCGGCGAGCAGGCTCGATAACAACCGATCCATTAATGTGTCCCCGACAAAGAGGACACAAAAGCTTTGGTTGTGCTTTCCCACTGAACCTAGTCAGCTGGACTAACAAGCGCTCTCCACTTCCTTGCTGACCTCCTTCCCTCCCTCTATGGGAGGCTGTGCTTGAAAGAGGAACTTCTCCGGATAGAGCTGTTGATGGTGTTGTTGCAAATGAATTGCAGAACTGATCAAGACAATTTGAGTGGCGGTAGCTTGTGTTGCACATGTAAGGGCGGCAACCCTTGTCATGAGATGAACATAATAAGAGGATAGCATTGTGAGGGTGCTCCATGCAGATAGGACATCTAGCATCTTCCCATTCCTTCTCATCCCCAACCTGTTGAAAAGGGTTCTCAGCTATGCATTGCTCAGCATTATTGGAGCTGCAAGGATAAGGAAATTTTCTTGACTGATCCAAAGACGAGGATCTGGCCCTTCTAACCTTCGGCATTCTGGAACATTAGAATTTTGTTAAGAATAAGTTCCTTCAAAAGTCAACAGTGCTACTTTTTTCCACTCTAAAATATAATATCTCATGAGAAAAAGTCATATTAATTCCTGATACCTATGAAGATGTATATCATGTCAAAAGCAAAAAAATAAGAAATGTCTGATACCCTATGAAGCATCGATAAGAATACAAGATACAGGTACGAATGCGATTAAACAATACAGCAAAAAACTAAAAAAAACATTATATTGTTACAATGAGGATGTGAGAGGAAATAACAAATGCCCGATACCCTATGTAGCACAAATATGAACACATTATGCAGGTTTGATGATGGCAATACAATACATTATAAAACCGAAAAACAGATATAGATATGATGAGGATGTGAGCAAATATATTATTATTATTTAATATCTTATATCATATGAGATAATAAATAATTTTTGAGGACTTCTTTTGTAAATTCTGAGCATCTAAATGAACAGAACTCATTGATTTCCAACAATAAGTCATTTAGATGCTTATTGATGAGCCATTTAGGTTTTTAAATTTCTATTTTTCAACATACTACCCCATATTTTACGTTTATAAAACAAATACACCTATAGCCTAGTTCATAAAATTACATATTATAGTTCGTCATATGCCCCAAGTATCCCAAATATACAAATGGAATATGCAATTGCATCCCAAACTCGTAAGAAATGAAAGGAAAAAAAAAAATAGATCACTGATAAGTATGGTAAGTATCCAACATGTACTGAGGTGTAATTTATATCTAATATATATTGGATATTGCAACAACGTCATAGGAGTAATACATGTGCTTCATATATGATATCTATGAAAATGCTACTATATTAAATGTAAAGAATAAATTTTGTATTCAGCAAGACGAGTGGTCACCAAAAAGTATATAAATATTGAATATTTGCATAAGCACAAAGTTTATGATAGTGTTAGTGTGTAACTTTCACATAATGTAAAGCAGAAAGATCACTTTAATTTTAATGAGCAAAAATAAAAGAGAAGATTCAAGTTGTGAATATGCAACTATGTATTTATAAGTTATATCTTTTTTTTGATAAGTAAGTTATATCATAACCCTTCAGCAAAACAAAAATGAAATACCCAGTTTTAAACTCATGTGCCAAAAAAAAAGTAACTAGACCGGAAGATATATCACAAAAATCAAACACCGAGGGCTTTCATGTCCTTCAGCTCCTTTTCCCCTCACCAACAATCATCCAACATTGATGCAATCATCATTGACCATAGTCTCCATCATAATCAAGTTTACCAACTAATCAATCCTGATAGAAAGTAAATAGAGAATAGCCTAAATACCCCCCAAAGAGAACATAGAACATCAACTTACCGATGCAATGTTTTCTTGAGCCATTATTCTTCTAAATGGTAGATTAGAAGATGTATCACAAATATCAATGATAACTCTCTCTCCCTCCCTCCCTCCCTCCCTCACACGCGCATCTTAGTTTCAGTTAGAAGTTACTTACCCGTTTTCTTTGCTTGTTTGCTCTCTCTCTATATATATAGTCACCAAGCTAAAATAGCTATCTTACGTAAGGAGTGCAAAGGAATTTTAAAAGTACAGGAAAGGACCCAAAATCTATGTAACCTACAGTTGATTTCCATAGAAAAACACCCAGATTCAAAAAATCTACTTAAAGGTTCCTATTAACCCTTCCTATTTCGTGGGATGATCCAAATACAATAAATAAGCCAATCTATATGCTCCGATACAAAGTGATAATGGTAGGAAAGAAGAGCAACATCCATTCATAAATTTAGTTTCACAACAGATCAATATACAGGCAATTTGAGATTGAAATGACCAGATTGAAATTGAAAGGTCCGTAATTTGTGTCCATAACACGCCACTATCCAATTATATGAAAATTAATTAATTAATTAATTAAAAAAAAAAAAAAAAACATTCTTTACTATGTGTAACTTCAGGTAAAGACAATTACTTTATTTGCTACATATATTTGTCCTCATATTTAGTTTAATATTCGAATTACAGTTCAAACAAAGTTGAAAAGCTGCAACAAAATCAACATCTAATCACATCAAGTCATGAATATTGTATTTGAAAACCTAGAAACTGAATTTAGCATCATTTTGATTCAAACACCCACCCAAATACATACATGGATCAATACAATCACACGTACATATGCATATAAATATATGGTGTAAAAATAATATGGGGGAACGTACCTTTCAGCTAAATCGCCAGACCAAAACTTGGATGTGCAGATTGGGTTTTGAGGAGCTGAGAACCCCAATAGTTTCCAGAGTTAGAGAAAATGGATTTTATATGTATATATGTGTATATAGAGGGCGTCGTTGGGTTTTGAAACTATGAAAGTACAAAATTACCCTTCGAGAAGTTTCTTGCAACTTGCAATTGTAGTCGAAAAGTCTCAAGCCTCAACCGAGAACGCTCAAACACCTCTCATTTGTGTGACATAGTTAGGATTGCAATAAAGTACAATCAACTTTTTTATCGACTATTCGCGTTTTATTAAATTTATATTAAGGGTGACTTTAGTTATTATAATATCACTTATCAACAAATTGATAGTTAAGAGAATTTTATGTGAATTGTTTTATTCAAAGAGGTTTCTTGCAAAAAAAAAAAAATCAAAGTAGAGAGGGTTTTGTGCAATTTTTCCTATACAATATGAATTGGGACAGTTTCACCTCAAAAATATTTTCCATCCACTTCCATTTGCTATGTGACCTCCGGATAGATAGTTGGAGGGGTTTTTTTGTTAAAAAAAAATTAGTCAAGGAAGTTGATTACAAAACGGGAATAGTTGAGGGGGGTATTTATTGCACTTTGCCCTATATATTTTAACAACTGCTCCTTATTTTTATATTTATTCGTTTCTACCATCCAGCTTTAAAAACTATTTTTTATGACTAGAGTCGAATTTAACGTTTTGTCTCACTTAACATAATCATCTCTATTTTATTTTTTTATTTTTTTTTAAATCATAATCATCTCTATTTAACATCGTGAATACAATTTTTGTATTTAACATTAAGTCGATTATACAGGTTGGATGAAAATCATTCATAAAATATAATGTGAGAGATGTAAATAGTGTTATTCAATCTCTTTTTTTGGGTAAGTGTATAAAAAGTGTCATTAAATCACTCAAAATATAAATATTGAGGATTACGAAATTAAAAAAGGGATGGGTTAGGATATGATTTAAAAAAAATAAAAATAGAAATATATGAATTGTGATCTTGTGTTCAACTTACGCTTCTTGGGTAGCCAAATTAAGTGAAAATAATTTTATATTGCACATAAGTCACAACACAATCCTTTTATTCTCTTAAATTTTAAGCAAATTGTATCGTGTCACACACTTGCAAAACTTTATATTAAAATCGGCGATCCAAATTTGGGCATGATAACAAAAGTTTGAATTGAAAAGTCTGCTCATAAATGTTGAAAATGCAAAAATAAAATTAAAGGATTCGAAATTTAGGAGAGGGCACTCCAAATAATTTTGTTAATGTAAATATATTTTGAATTTCTAAAACTAAAAAACCACAGTATAATACTCATTTTGTTTAATTGAAACGGGTGAACACTTATCCATTTACCCAAAATTTTAAATTGTTGGGTAGTATAGCATACCCACCCATTTATATCCACTCACTTTCCCATCCGAATCAAATGTGGGACAAATATCTCCTTATAATATTTTCTTCCACCAGAACTCGCAACGCTCTCGCTGTGGTCGGACTATTCTGTCTATCCGGGGTGGCTCACCCGGACGCCTTTCTGGCGGGGCGCTTTACGTGGCACTGGATCAAGGACTGAGTTTGACGCTGATACCAACTGAAACGGATAGGCATTTGCCCATTTACCGAAAAGCTTAAACTATTGGGCAGTGCTGCATACTCACTCATTTATGCCCAATCACTCTCCCCGGATCTGATGTGGAACAAATATTCCCTTATTGCAATACAATATATATATATATATATATATATATATATATATATATATATATTGAAATAACTTAAATCACCTCAAAATCGACTTTAAAAACATAATTGCTCAAAAACAACCGTAAAAACCAAGAACATACCAATAAGGTAAAGAAACTCGAATCTGATCACCAAAATTCATGGGTTAATATTTTAAACACGAAGGCAAAAACTTGGTTAGATAAAAATTTCAAAAATAAAAAATAATAATAAAATAAATAGTCTCTTTCCATTATTTATATTTATCTAACCAAACCAGTAGCCCTTTCCTTTTGAGTTTTCAAAAATATTAATTTTGTTATATATATATATATATATATATATATATATATATATATATATATATATATATCTATGTGTGGTCCACAATAAACTAAGTCAATGGATGATACAAAAGTGGCGTGAAAAGGAAGATCGGAAGCTTAGCTTACTGTGAAAGCCATTATTATGGCTTGTTTGGGAAGCCTCAATATATGCCCATAAATAGGCTTCTTGTTTACAATTGAATGGGTGTTGAAAATAATAAAATCAGTTCGTCTCTCTCTTTTTAGTGCTCTCTCTCTATCTCTCTAAGCTCTATCACTCAATATTATTCTTTCTCTCTCTCTCTCTCTCTCTCTCTCTCTCTCTATATATATATATATATATATATATATATATATATATACACTCTCACATATATTTTATTATACGTTATCAGCACGAGCTCGATCCATCTAAAATTTGAAAGAAGAAGCTCTCTTTCCCTCTTTCTATCCCAACTATATATCTAGTTTTTGATATTAGTTTTGATAGATTGTTGGGTTGGTTTGCTTTATCAGAGAAAATAATATTTCTGACTCCAAAGGGTAAGAAAATTTTAATTATGAATTATTGTTAGTAAAATAAATTTGTTCACTTAAATGATATATGTGCTTATACTATGGTCGGTTCTACCACCTTTATTATTTAATAATTTACTAATTATGGTCGGTTCTACCACCTTTATTATTTAATGATTTATGGGCCGGTTTTACCGCCTTTATTGTTTAATAATTTATTTACTATGGCTGGATTTACCACCTTTATTATTTAAATAATTTATATTATGTTATTATCTCATTTAATGTCATTTTATTTTATATACTATGCTAAATTATATTTTTATATTGTTGTCACATCTAGTTATTCTGAAAATGTCAAATCTGACAAAAATGGAATTCGTGGCCCTGGATATTTCTTGCAAAAATTATTTATCATGAATTCTGGACGCTCAGATCCATTTGGATGCCATGGGCCTTGGAGACACAATTAAAGAAAACAATGATGCATCATTGCAAGATAAAGCAAATGCCATGATTTTCCTCCGGCGCCATATTAGTGAGGAACTGAAAACTGAATACCTCACTGAAAAAGATCCACTTTGTTTATGGAATAATTTGAAAGAAAGATATGATCATCAAAAAACAGTCATCTTCCTAAAGGCCAGGGTTGATTGGTTGCAACTGAGGTTGCAAAATTTTAAAACTGTGGCTGAATATAACTATGCTCTATTCAAAATCAATTCTGCATTGAAATTATGTGGTAATACTGTTACTGATGAACTTTTGCTAGAAAAAACATTCACCACATTTCACTCCTCGAATGTACCCTTGCAACAACAATATCGAGAGCGTAGATTTAAAAAATATTCAGAGCTGATATCATGTTTGCTCGTAGCAGAGCAAAATAATGAACTTTTATTAAGAAACCACCAGTCCCGTCCAATTAGATCTACACCGATCTCTGAAACATATGTTGCCTCATCCCATGGTCGTGGACGCAGACGTGAACGTCATCGCGATGGTAGAAATGGCCACAATAATAAATATGGTCGTGGTAAAAATAACTACCACAATAATGAATATGGTCGTGGTAGAAATCATTCTTATTACCGTGAAGGATATCAATCCTCACATTCTCGCAATCAGAGATCCACCCTATATCCCCAAATGAGAGATCATAATGAAATGAGATAGGGAAAAGGGAAGAATGTGGCTCAACCTTCCAAGACACACGATAATACTTGTTATCGGTGTGGCATGACAGGGCACTGGCAAAGTATTTGTCGTACACCTAAGCATCTGGTTGAACTTTACCAAGCCTCAATGAAAGAAAAGGGAAAACAAAGGGAAACGAATTTCCTTAATCATGATGAGCCAGTTGACATCACAAATCTAGAAATGAATTTTATTGATCATAATGAGCCAGTTAACATCACAAATTTGGATGTATCAGATTTTTTTGAAGACCGTGATATAAAGATAAATTTCCTGATTGGTGATGGAAATGTCCACACCAATTAATCTTATTTTCTTTTCATATTCTGTCTACTATATTTTTATTTTCTTTGTATCAAAGTTTTTATTTTCTAGTTTGTATTAAAGTTTATTTTGTTATAAAAGTTTCTTTTCTGATAAAGAAATTTGCATGAATAGGAATGGATCTGACTAGTTCCAAAATAAATGGAGAAGATATATGTCTTGTAGATAGTGGAACGACACACACAATCCTTCGAGATCAAAAATATTTTTCCCACTTAATTCTGACAGATGCCAGTGTCAGTACCATATCAGGTCTCACCGACTTGATTAAAGGCTCTGGGCGAGCCAACATCATTTTACCACATGGAACAAGATTACAAATCAATAATGCCTTATATTCTACAAGATCTCGGAGAAATCTGTTAAGTTTTAAAGACTTGCGTCATAATGGGTATCATATTGAGACTACAAATGAAAGAAGTGTGGAATATCTCTACATTACTTCCATTACCTCAGGCAAGAAACTGATATTAGAAAAACTCCATGTTTTCTCTTCTGGGTTATACTATATAACCATTAGAACAATTGAGTCAAATGCTATGATTCATAAAAAATCTTGTGACCCAAAACTTTTTATGCTTTGGCATGATCGACTTGATCACCCAGGGAGTACAATGATGGGTCGAATTATTGAAAATTCACATGGACACCCATTAAAAGATCAAAAGATCATCTTACCAAATAATCATCTATGCACCGCCTACTCACAAGGTAAGTTGATTATTAGACCATCCCCTTCAAAAGTCATTGTTGAGTCTCTCCCATTTTTTCAACGAATTCACGGGGATATATGTGGGCCAATTCATCCACCCTGTGGACCATTTCGCTATTTTATGATCTTAATTGATGCCTCAATAAGATAGTCGCATGTTTGTCTGCTTTCTACCCGTAATGTTGCATTTGCTAGACTCCTTGCTCAAATCATCAAATTACAGGCACACTTTCCTGATTGCCCAATTAAGACAATCCGTCTTGATAATGCGGCTGAATTTTCTTCTCAAGCTTTTGAT